CCTCTTAGTGGCTTAAGCAGAATGACAGGCAAGCATTTGCTTCAGAATAAAATGCTGCAATTACTCTTAGGTAATAGAGGCATGGGTGCTTACGTGTGTGTATAAAGCACTTTAGCTAATATTGCCAGTCACCACAGTACCTAGAAATCTTAAGTCCTGCCTAGCCAGCCACTGTCCCCCACACTCTTTCCCATTCCCCAGGGCCAAAACACAGTGAAGATTTGTAATTATGTACCAGTAAAACAGCACTTCAAACACACACATACCGAGACACACACACACACACACACACACACACACACACACACAATTCTTTTTAAAGCCCTTATTTGTAACACCACCAATTTCCAGGGCATAAACACTTTCACCATGTCAATTTCATGTTAGCCACATGAGGAGTTAGGAAGATGTGAGCATAGTCAGCTCTTATGAACCAGTGAGTCAGTTTCAGTGCACCAATGAGCCTCACTTCTCACTCTGTTGAAACATAACCACAGAGTCAAGCTGCCACACTGGTTTTGTCTCTTTACTAGTTTGCCGTCTGCAATTTCTCCCCAAAGACCAGTGTTCAGGGAATAATTTATTCTCAGTACATTGAAAGAGCCATTTTCAACTAGAACACAACTTGCACAAGATTAGGACATTTGGCTGGTGTAGTTATTGCTTGTTCATTTGTGCACTATTTTTATGGGACTTAAAGCTCTCGATAATTAAAAAAAAAAAAAAAAAAAAAACTCTTGTATTGGCAGAATTTAATACTCTACATTTTGGTTTGGAAGCCTAGCATCTACTTAGCTTTTGAGCCCCTAAGATGTACAGTTCTATCTGAAATCCCAATGTAAAGAAATGTAGAATGGTAAAATCCTTAGAAAAGTGCCTACACTAATTCAATATACACCATGTGCCAGACATTGTTCTAGACACTCATGGCAATACAACCATGATTAAAAGAAAGTCTCTTGTATAGTGAGCTTTGATTTGAGTGCAGGAGATAGTTGATAAACAAGTCAATAGGAAAATGAACAAGATAAAGTCATGTAGTGTCAAATGTTGAAAAAAGGAAAAAAGGGTGAGGTAATAGAGACAGTGTGATATGACTTTAGATTAGGTAGTCAAGGACAGCCTCTCTGAAAAGGTGGCATCCAAGCTGAGACTTGAAGGGCAAGGAGGAGCCAGCCGTGCCGAGAGCAAGGGGAGGGAAGAGCTTGGTATGTTGAATGTGGCTTTGATTTGCATTTCTCTAATGACCAGTGATGATGAGCATTTTTCATATGTGTGTTGGCCTCATAAGTGTCATCTTTTGAAAAGTGTCTGTTCATATCCTTTACCCACTTTTGAATGGGTTTTTTTTTTCTTGTAAATCTGTTTTATTCATGTTTAGATCCTCACAGCCTAGTACAACATCTGGGAAAAGAGTGGTACCCAATACAGCTTTACTGAATCATCAGTGTTAGCTGGCTTTGTTAAATTCATGAGCTGGTCCTTGTTTTTTTGTTTATTAGTTCATTTTCATAAGCCAGATTGGGCAAGAATTACCATATCCATAGATGGATGCTTGCATTTCATCCTGAGAGTATAATCACGTAGTATAAACTTTGAACTCTCATTACACACAAAGGGATCTAAAAGTTTGTGAGTCACAGATACCTTTGTGCACTAGAGAAACTGGAGTCACAGCCACTGAGAGCCTGAGAGATTTAAAAACCCTGGAAGTAGAGGAAACTTCTAATTTTGACCAAATTGGAGTAACAGGGATCTGCCTTCTCACCTAACCAAAAAAAAAAAAAAAAAAAAAAAAAAAGACAAAATATGAACAATAGTTTGGAAAACACTTGACATCAGGCAACAAAGGACAATAACGCATACCTGAGGCATGGTATGGAAATATACAGAATATTGACCGAAGAGGCAAAAGTTGGGGTTCTAGCTCAGGAGATTCCTATGATTGCCCTAGATGATCACCTCGAGAATTTTTCCAGGTCTCAGCACAAGGAGGGGGATCTAGGCAGTGCCCAGCAGGCAGGCTGAGCTGGGGAGATAAAGGTGAGTCCAGGTAGAACAATGTAGCGGGAGCTCACAGAACCCAGAGCCAGACAGGAAAGAGCTGCACAAAGAACTGCAAAGTCTGCACTGCACACTTGCTAGAATAGCTAAGACGGAGGCTGACTGTGAATTGCAAAATAATCACGCAGAGTGAAAGAATCCACATGCCAAAGAGCATATAACAGTTAATTCTTTGTATACGAAATTCTAGGGAATGAAAACTAATATCACAGCAACAGAAAGCAGATCATTGGTGCCTTGGGGACAAGGGATAGGAGGGTTAACAGGGACAGTTTGGAAGAAGGGATTACAACAGGGCACAAGAAAATTTTGGTCGTGATTGGCATGTTCATTATCTTAATTTCATAGGTGTAGATATATGTCAAGACTTACCAAACTACACACTTTAAATATAAGCAACGTAGTATATGTCAATTATAACTAAATGAAATTGTTTGTTTTAAGAAAACCTGGGATTAAAGGTCATAGGAATATAGGTGTCAATTATAATAAAAGCTTCTTTTTTGTTTTTTAAGACAGAGTCGCTCTCTGTTGTGCAGGCTGGAGTACAGTGGCATGACCTTGGCTCATTACAACCTTTGCCTCCCAGGTTCAAATGATTCTCCTGCCTCAGCCTCCCCAGTAGCTAGGATTACAGGCACATGCCACCATGCCCAGCTAATTGTTTGTGTTTTTAGTAGAGATGGGGTTTCACCATGTTGGCCAGGCTGGTCTCGAACTCCAGACCTCAAGTGATCTGCCCTCCCAAAGTGCTGAGATTACAGGCGTAAGCCACTACGCCTGGCCTATAATGAAATCTTAGTCTTGTGTAAAATGGGCTTCTGTACTATCCCAGAAACAGTCATGCTCAGTCATCTGCTGGGGCTTCCCCAGTGGTGATTGGTGTAGAAAAAAAAGAGTATCCGTTGATATTAATTGAGGAAGAAAAAGACCTGGGTTCTAGCTCAGACTATCCTTTTATACACTGTGTCACTTCACATAGAAATGTCCCAAAACATGATTGGGAAGGAACCAAGCTCTTATGTTTAAAAGCAAGAGGAAATAATGGAGAGCATGAGTTTGCAAACCAGACACACCTGGATTTGTTTTCCTACCTTGTCCCTGAAGAGCAACACTCATAGACGAGTGCAGGAAGCCCAACTCTATGGTGATAAATTTTTACGCATTGAAAAATTTATTTTTCTCTCCTGAGCTGCCAACATCCAGATCAAAAATCAGAACATTATCAGGCCCCCCCGCCAGGAGCACCCTCTCATGCTCCATTTCAATCACTACATACATCAAACAAACTTCAGTTCAAATTCTACCTCTACCACTCATTGGCCATGTGACTTTCAGCACATTTTCTCTTTCATAAAGTGGAGTTCATAATGCCAATTTGTCAGATTTTATTTCTTGAAGAATCAAATAAAATCGCAGGTTTAAATCATCTACCACAACGTCTAACATGTCAGTGGGTTTCATATACAGGCGTTCCCCTCCCAAAGAGAAGCTTGGAAGGGCCAGACTCCAACAGGCAGGAGACAGTAGAGGACTCAGAGCATCCCAAGTTGCATCGGGGCACACCTGTGGGTGAGTCACTTTGCCATCCTGGGTTCCAACTCGAATCTCATCAAATGAAGGCCCCATAAACACTGGATTCAATACAGTACTCCTTCAGGACGCCTTGCCAGGGATACGAGGATGAATAAGACATGGCCCTCACCCTTTGAAGAGTTTGGAAGTCAGACTTCTCTAGTTCTGATCAGCTGCGAGTGTGAACCTCAGTTTCTTTGAAATTATGTAAATATATGTAAGTGTACAAATGGGGAGATCAGTGCCATCTTTCAGGATGGGTCATCACAAGTACGAGAAAGCTTTTCCAATCAGCATCTTGCCTTACACTCCCAAATCAGAACCTCTAGGGTTAGGCCCCAGAAACATGTACGCATTGCCAATTCCCAGGTGATTCGGATGCAAGTGATCTACATAGAGCACATGAGAACCTCCATTGAAGGAGCTGGGATGACAAAAGTTGTACTGAGCCCAGGACACACACTGCCAAGTTAACCATTACTAATAACTCTCTAAGGCCAATTTGCTTCCTCTTCATGTGCCTGTTTTCCCTAAGACATACCAAAAATAGACTCCCCTTAATTAAGAATTTACAGTTACTTGAGCTCCAAACAAGTCATTTTTTTCAAACCAGGATCTCAGCTCCCCATTCCTACTGAACATCAGCTATCAGGAATGATTTGCCTGTTTTTCAGCAGCAATTGATCATGGCATGGCAAGCCTGTCCTGGGGCCTCCTCTGAATAAACAGCCCACAGCACTGAGAACAAACCGTTCTGTCAACGAGCAGGCTGCTAGCACAGACAACTCTGTACACCTGTTGTCACAAGTGCTAATGATAAGTGACACTCATCACTGAGGATGTCTGTAACAGCCTTCCCAAAAGAATGGACAGTTGCATCCAATTACTAGCCTTGAATTATACAAAATAAAGAATGATCATTAATAATTATAATAATAATAACAATAGCCAGCATTCACAAGGCACAGATCATATGCCCAGATACTCCTGGACCCTTTTAATGTGTTATTTCACTTACTCCCTGGTATAGATTGAATTACTGATTTCAGTTCTTCATCTTTCATTTTTCCTTTTTTACACTGTTTGCATGTGACTTGCAGTTGTCTCTAAAGGTGGGGGGTATTTCCCCACTTCTTCCCTCAGACAAACCTAGACTACATCAGCTAACGACAGATCTGTGCGTAAGAATAAGTGGTTCAAATTAGTGGACAGGAAGCCACTTATGTGGTGACTTGTTACATAGCAACAACTGACCAATTCTATCTCCTAGAAAAGTGATTGGCAAACCAAGGTCTGGGCCTAGGTTCTGTTGTTGTAAAGAAAGTTTTATTGGAACAAAAGAAAATAATTCATGTACTTACATATCATCTATGACTGCTTTCTTGTTGTAACAGCAGACTTAAGAGGTTGTCACAAAGACTGCATGATTTACAAAGCATAAATATTTACTGTCTGGCCCTTTACAGAAAAAAAAAAAAAAAAAAAAAAAAAAGAACTGCTGGTTACTTCCCTAGAAAAGGGTTTCTCAAACATTACCTTGCATCAGAATCACCTGGAGGACTTATTACAAAGGTGGAGCTGAGCCCTAGACCCAGGATTCTGATTCAGTAGGTCTGGAGTGAGACTCAAGAATTGCACTTCTAATAAATTCCCATGTAGATGCCCATGCGCTGGTCTGAGGACCACACTTTAAGAACTACTCCCCTAGAACAATGGTTCTCAACGCTGGCTGTATATTAGAATCACCTGGAGAGCTCTCGCGTTGAGCCCTGAGGTATATCAGTAATTGCTAAATAGCTTCTTGGGATTTCTAGTTTGCAGCTGGGATTTAGAACACTACTCAGGAGCAGCCCTTTTAGTCACTGAAGTATTGGTTGAGCACCACGAACAAGCAACTGTCCTGAAAACAGCTTTGAGGACACAGTCCTGAACCTGAAGGAATCCTAGTCTGAGGAGCAGACACACAGGTAAATAGCAAAAGGTAAGCTATGTGTATGCTGGAGGTGAGCATTCGGTGAGAGGATGCCCCGGGGATGAGCTGTCAGGCAAGGCTGGGAGAAGGGTAGGGGAGGTCACCTGGGGGAGGTGACACCTGAAGCAAATTTTGAAGAGAGAATGTAATACGCATTTCACCAATAAGGAACGTGGACTCAAAGTTTTAGGCCGCTTGGCTAGAATCACATTCTAGTATCCTGGTCAGGACCAGGATCCAAACCCAGCTCTCGGAACAATTCCCTTCCACCCAGATGCCTGTTTATGTCTGTCCCTCTTCTATTCCGGACTCCAGTCCCATACACTAATGTAATGACATCTACAAAATAAGTACCTTCTAAAATAGCTGTTATTAAGTAATGGATCTAGTTGAATCATGGTTTCGAGGCACATCAGGGTCTTCAGGTGTCTCAAGGACATCCACTCAAGCCGCAGTCATCCAGATATTCTAGGTACTTCAGAATCCTCACTTGTGTGGTTGAAGGTTGTTTTGTACATTACAGAGAGACAAGAAGATATCATTTACCTCTTGATGGAAGTATACACCACCACCTGATGTAGTCTTCTTGCCTGAAAATCAAACTTAAGTTCAATCAAGGATCTAAGTACCATTTACCAGAAAAACAGTGAACCACAGAGAGGCAATCTAAGAAATCCAGATAGAATGAATCACTCATTTCAGAACAAACAATTCAGCTTCTTCAGTAAATTTAAATTGTGAAGGAAAGGTTATTATGAGCTAAATTGTGTCCCCTTTTTACAATTAAGAGGTTGAAGCCCTAACCGCCGCTACTTCAGAATATGACTGTATTTGGAGATAAGGCCTTTAAAGCGGTAACTACGTAAAAATGAGGTCAGGTGAGCGGGCTCTATCCAATATGACTGGTGTCCTTATAAAAAGAGGAGATTAGGATATGGATATGCAGAGACAAAGGACCATGTGAAGGCATACAGAGAAGATGGTCACCTGTAAGCCAAGGAAAGAGGCCTCAGAAGAAACCAACCCTTCCAAGACCTTTGTCTAACACTTCCAGCTTCCAGAACTGTGAGAAAATACATTTCTGTTGTGTAAGCCCTCCAGTCTATGATATTTTATTATGTCGGCCTTAGCATACTAATATGACGTCCCTTATTTTTAGAGCTGATGCTTTGGGCATTACTCAACAAACCTTTGAAAACAGCCTCCAGCAACTTCCATCCGCTGGTCTGGTCTTTGGTTCCAACTTCCGCCATTACGTAATAGAAAGTCTTATCCTTCGGATCAGACTTTGAACCCTTTATGTGAGGGAAGCTGCCTGCTATTTGCATGTCTTCCCTTTTCTACCCTAAACACCTCAGTTCTCTCACTTGTTCCCAGGCCGCGGCTTCCAGACCCTCCCCAAGCACGGTGCTCTTTACCCATCTGAAGAAGGCATACATCCCTGGAGGCCTGCCTTGCTCAGGGCTTTTGAATTTGCTGTTCCCTTTGCCAGAGACCATCCCAGCCTCGGAGATCTGCTGGGCCCACTGCTTTGCTTTGTTTGGGTCTGTGCTCAAATGTGACTTCGTCAGAGAAGTGTCCCCTGGTCTTTTCATTCTTGACTCCTTTACTTTGCTTCTTCTCTTCCTATAGCACATATTAGACATTTAATCAAATCTTTATAGGTTGCCTGTCTCCATCCAATAAACTGCAAGTTCCCTGAAGACAGGTACTCGTGTTCATCCCTGCTGCATCCTGATGGGGCCTGCTGTTCCACAGGGGCTCAACCTGTATTTCTTGGATGAGTGAGTAAATGATAGCTGGTTTTGTAGTGGGGCATTCCAGTTCCAAGATACAGCAAATATCTTTGCTTATGTTCCCCCCTTCCCTTTAAAAAGGCTCAGCAACAAGCCTAAAAGTAGCAAAAGGAAGCTCTATCAGCGGCTGCCCAGCGCCCTCAGCATCAGCCCCTCCAAAACCGCCAGCCCGCTCAGGCTGCAGCTGGACAGCCCAGAGACACTTCGTGGCCATCTGCAGACCACCAGGCCCAAGACAGCCAGCTGCGGAGACAGCAGGAGGCCTCGGGGACACGTGCTTCAGGCAGGCGTGCACCCACCCCAAGCACATTCGACTTTCTCCTCATCAGACGGCTCCTTTGCATCTGCCCGTGTGTACTTTGGCTTCCAAAGCCTCTGTTTACAAATCTGGGTCAAGGAAGGACAGGAATTCCAACAACACACAATTCACAGAAGCCGGCCCGTGGCCTCCGTTCTCATTTTTCCTTGTAAGAAGGCTGTGTGGAGCAGCGTTGAGTCACTGTATTTGGAAGCTTCCCAGAGCCAGTTGATATCCAGCTGTCATCTGTATTTACCATCATTGCGACTTGGAGAAAACAGTACCATCTCTGTGAGCCTCCGTTTCCACACTTTTTAAAAAGAAGACAATGACACAACCTTAACAGAATTAGAACTCAAGTATGAAGACAGTAGCACATGGAACTCATTCAGTAATTTGATATTTTTTTTTACATTCCCAAGTAATACTCTAGCGTGTCCCATCTCGCAGAATCCCGGAGTCGTCCTGATCCCACTTTCTCCCAAAGACAATCGGCCACCATTCTACTTCTTAATTTGTCATGAATTCATCTACTTCTTCCTCTTTCTGTGAGGATCTTCACTGGCTGTTCCTAGCACAGACTCGGGAGTTGTCCCCTGTGAGTTTAGTCACGTCTCCGCCACTTCTGGCTGGGCGATGTTGAGCATGTTATTTATCTTCCACGTGACTTGGTTTTTTAACCTGTAAAATGGAATGACAGCGGTGGGTGTGGAGTCAACACTGTGGATTCCCGACTAAAAGTCTCCCCCAACACTCTTCTCCATTGCTACCTCATGTATACAAGCTGGGAAGCCAAGTATTAGAGTTCCTAGCCTCTCTGTAGCCAGGGGTGTGCTGTACTCATCCTGGCCCAAGATACAAGCAGAATTCTGCTGCTAAGTGCTATCAAAGCTTGAAAGTTAGGTTATAATATCCATGGGAAATGCTTAGGGAAGGGCCTGGCTCACAGAACAGAGATGACTGCGGAATGAATGTAGCAAGGTAGAGACCAGGAAGGAAACAGATTTAAGCAAGAGGAATGAGGTGAGGATCAGGTGATAGAGGAAGATTTCAGGGAGGTGGATAGTGCTGGCACGGAGGATAGGACCTGGCCAGGGCCTGAACATCCCCAAAAGTCTCCTGTCCCTTGAAGGGAGCTAGTTAAGGAGTCAGTACAAGGGACCTATCATTCATCATTGGACTGTGAAATGCTTATGAACTGGTCTCAGCGCACATTCCAGTCACCATAAGTGTGAACGGTGTCTTTCATCTCACACTGTCTGGCAGCTTTCTCACCAGACAGGGCAAAGCTTTGCGGGAAACCCCAGGACATAGGGTTGTGCACAGCAAGGTCCCCTGGGATGCTCTGCGGGGGCAATGCTAGCCACAGCCCCACTTGGGGGAACACTCATGTATGATACCCCTTCATATGCCCTGTCCCAGCTGAAGAGCTGCTACACCGTGTCCAGGCCCTCAGAGGCATAAAGGTCATCGAGAGATGTTAGGAAAAATTCCAGTGAATGGGTCTGTCTGTAATCATCACAGAAACTGCTCCTCCCTTTCCTGAACCTGGGTGGGTCCCTTCCACCTACCCAGCCACCCCATGGCAGAACTGCTAATATTGGGGAAGAAGCCAGAAAATAAACAGAGGTAAAATATTCCCCCAAAAGAGTGGCTCTTAGGTGTCCCAACAAGGTGACCAATTGCTCTCCACAAAGTATGTCCAGATTCTGACTCCAAGCAGAGGTGGTTCTAGCCCCAGCTTGGAGATTGATCAAATATGTAAAAGGTTATATTATGCTGGGCACTCAGTAGCCCTTTTGAAAACATGTTTTAAATACCTTCAATGTCTAGTTTCTCACAGGCTTAACCTGGAACACAACCACAGAAATGTTCTTTCCAAAATGCAAATCAGACTCTGTCACTTTCCTGCTCAGAGACTTTGATGGCTCTGCCTTAACCATGAAATTGAAGCTCAGCCTGGCAGATGCATCCACTGTTTCCTCTTTCTTATTTCTTTTTATATGCTGGATGTCTCAAACTCACTGGTATTCCCCAGACACCCAGTGATACTCATCCCTGCTTGCCTCTGCACATCATTGCATTCATTCAATAACTTACCCATTCATTGAATGAACATATATTAAGCGCTTACTGCATTCCTGTATGTTACTTTCTAAGATACAATGATAGACAAGAACAACTGCCTGTCCTTAAAGAACATATCGTCAGGAGTACCCATGCCTGGCAGGACATCAGAGTCACACACAGGGGTGCTCAAAAGCACAGAGGTTTGAGCTGCATCCTGGTATCTCAGAATGGAAAGAGAAGGAAAGGAAACAGCCAGCAAAAGCATCATAAGAGAATAGGGGGAGCTGATTGCAGATTTCTCCTTTTACCTCCCTGACAACCAGCTGGGTGAATGGGCTAGGCTGTAGAGCCAAAAACACTGATTCAAAACTCGGGCATTTTTGTACTCTTGCTTGCTGAGACCTTTCATCTTTGCATCTGTGGCTGGGTGAAATTATTCCTAGGTCTCCCTTTTACTTTCAAAAGTGCCCTGTTTGGGATGATAAGTTCTATAAGCACCTTATTCTATAATCAGCTTTCCCCTTTCCTACGCGTGAGCACTTGGGAGAAATGGCTGAAACTTCCTGAGCCTCAGTTTCATGGTCTGTATCACTGAGTGAGCCATACCTACTTGAGAAGGTATCAGAATTAAATGAGGTGATGTCTGTCAAGTCCCTGGCACAGTAGATGTTTAATTCACAGAAGCTGTTGTTATTTTTTTGCCTTGTAGAAAGTGGTTCTTATCTGCTCTGCATTGTTCATTATTAAATGAAACGAGACCTCAACGATGAGAACATTCAGATGAAACACAGAGCATTTATATTGGTGGAGAGGATGGCCTGAGTCAGCAAGACATTGCTTGGGTAGTCGCTGGCCAGGATGACAAGCCTGTTTAAGTGTCTCCATTACAATATTTAAACTTCAGCTCAACAGCCTAGAAAGCTTCACTTTACTACCCACCTTCTTGGTTTCAATTTCTCATAGTGTTAGGTCAAATGCCAGCAATGGATCCAGAAGGAGGAAACTGCAGCCTATTTTGATGTCCAGGGTCAGGCCGAGGAGAGAGACTGACACATTATCTGTCTCACTGACTGTCCACTGCCCCCACCACAGAGGTGACTCATCAGATGGCCTGTCTGAACAGTGATTCTGCCGGTGATTCATCGTTGCCCACCAGAAAGCCCCCTTCTTAACGTCCTCTTTCTGAGCTCTTCAATTAGAATTTGAGGTCCAAGGAGATTTAGAGGGAAGGGAGGGTAGAAACATCTGACAGCTGGACCGAGTGTGGCTTCCCTCAGTGGCAGTGGGACACAGGGAGGGAGAAGAGGAAGTGCTGGGTGCCTCTTGCTCCCAGAGTGAGAACTTGGAAACAGCCAGAGGAAAAATATATATATAATAAATGGTGAATATTTATAATATTGCAGAGGTCCTTAGGGGTGAAGGAATCTCATCAAGGACAGGAAGGAGGGTGAAAACTTTATAGAAATCAGAAATCTTTTTGGTTGGCGTTGCAGGAAGGTTGCTATGTGAATGGATTGTTTAAAAGTCTAGGGTATAGCAAACTGAAGATAAAGTGGATCAACGTAAAGAGAATATGTGTCGAGTCTGGGATAGAAGGAAGACTAAAGCAGGAGTTTTCCAGTGCTATGCTAGAAAGACAGTCACTGAGGCTGGTAGATATTCAAGTCTCTAAAAGTATCCCTAAGTTCTCTAGAATGGGCCGAAAAGTGGTTAGGTTTCCTGAAGTGTGATAGGTAAAATTATTATCGTACATACACATAAAGAAAAATTCCTTTACAAGTCATCTCTGCCTTCATATCACTTGTACATCAAACCAAGATTATCACATGTATTTTTCTTTAAGCACAATTAAGTAAAAATATGCAAACTTTTTCTTTCTCCAGACATGCCAAGCTTCAGCTGAAACTCAGGCCTCATGCAGTTCTCTCTGCTTAGAATGTTCTCTGCCCAACCTCCACCTGCCCCACTTCTTATCATACAGGTGTCAGGTCAAATGCTTTCTTCTCAGTGAAGATTTCCCTGGCCACCTTGTCAAACATAAATGCCATCTGGTTATCCTCTCTCCAGCCCGTGGTTTATTTTTTTCTGAAGAACTTTCCAGGATCTCAGCCTTATCTTGGTTTACTTGTTTGTAACCTGTCTCTCTCCTCCAGAATGTAAGCTCCAAGAGAGCAGGAACTCCTCCTTGACATTATTCTTGCCTTAATCCTCAGTGTCTAGCCTATTTCTTGCCATATGATAGATGCTTAATGCATGTTTGTTGAATAAAGACCCATTAAAGTGAATTATGGGCTGAATAATGCCATTCTTGCATTGGGGAAAAAAGTGTGGAGTTGTAGGTAGGACATGGAGAATTGTGTGTCATCCTGGACATGGCCATAGGAAAGTGTAAAACACTTATTTTTGGTAATAATTATACTTTTTCCCCCTCAAATGAGCCATGGACCTGAGAGTTAAGTAGGGATGAACTGTTTTTCTATGCTGGTAAATATGGATTAGAGCACATGGCTTAGAAATGAGTCTAAAACAGGTTTCCTGCTCCTGCCTCTTTTGTTAGAGATGACTCAGTTACAGCTAGAAAACTGTAAGCTTCTCCATTTCCTTTCCTCCCTCTTTCTCTTCCTCACCCCTCCTATCACCCTGACCCAGGGCAAAGGCTCTCCCAGTGGGCTGACCTTATGGAAGACGTTGAAGCTGAACGAACACCTGTGACTCTGAAAGTCATTCTTTCATGGGGAAGAGCAAACAAGGATACAAGCTTCCTCCCCAGTTCTTCTGAGACTACAGGAATTTCTGTATGGAAGTGGGCTAATGCAGGAATGAGTGGAAGGAAAATGGGTTTCCCTAGAGTAAATATCATGGTCATGAATGTGTCATGGGTAAAAAGGGAAGCCAAGGACCACTGTAAACCACTGTGAGCTCCTAGAGATGAGGGATTATGTCTTCAACTACTATTTAGAGATGACTGATCCTAGCAGGTATCTTTGTGCCTGACACACAGTAGTGGTCTATCAGTGTGTACATAACAGTGTGCTCTGAAGGAATGGAAGACTGTATGAATGATTGACTGGATTTGTGATTGAGTGAATAAAATATGCATTATACATCTATCTCTTACAAATCTAGTAAATGTGAGTCTAATCTTAAACCCTGCTCTCCTTAGAATATAGAAGAAAAAATATATTTTTTAGACACACAAGACTGAGAACAAGAACCTGGACAGACTTGACCTCACTAACTTCTGGCCATGTTTTAAACCCTCTTGGGACACCTTCTAGCCCCAAGGAAACTGGGGATCTGTGAGTAGTTCACATCATCTGTGACGAACCAATAAGTCATCTCTGCCTGCATTCAGTCTCTTGAGGAGACGTTCTTAACTTAGGTCCATGAACTCTGCAAGGATCAGAAAGCAGATGCCTGGAGGTCTATGATGAATGAGAAAAAAATATGGCTTGATTTTCACTAACCTCTAACTGAAATTTAATATTTCTATCACTTGTGTATGTAGACAGACACAGTTTATCAGCAATAGCTGTGATTTTTGTCATCCACAGAAATGACAGATAATTTCATATCATATGTCAGCTGTGGCAGAGATCATAAAATATTGC